AAAATTCTCTCTCTCTCTCTCTCTCTCTCTCTCTCTCTCTCTCTCTCTCTCTCACTCACTCACTCGTTGTGTAGGAAGTAAAAATACTAAGTTCTTGTGCTCTGGAAATGTCTTTCTTTTGTACTTTTACTTTAATGTTTTGTAGGTTCAAAATGGATTTTCCTTAACCTTTGAAGATATTGCTTGCTCTGTCATATTGAAGAATTCACAATTGCTAATGAGAAACCTGATGATAAAACCATTTTTGTTTCCTTGTTGGTAACCTTTCCCCTTCACTCTTTCTGCCCAATATCAGTAATAATAATCCCTTCGCAACATCAGAATGAGTTTTTCCTGACATTATCTCATAGTTTTGGAACCAGCTGTTGCCTTTAATTAGGATCAAAAGCCCACATATTGCATTTAGTTTATATGTTTCTTAAATCTCTTTGAATATTTAAGTTTCTCCTCTGTCCCACTTTTTTCCTCTTGCAGTTTTGTTTTTAATTTTATAGCTCTTTTATTTATTTATTTTTTACTTTAAATAATTAAAAAATATTTATTGTGAGAGTATTAGAGTTGTCCCTTTTCACACTGCGCCCACTGCCCCCCTCCACTAGGTTCCTGAGCCACCCCAGGCCTTCATCTTCCTATTGTCTGTGTCCATAGGTATTGCATGTATGCGTATAAGATCTCTGGTTAATCTCTTCTCACTCCCCTACCCCCTTCCCTCTGAGATTTGTCAGTCTGTTCCATGTTTCCATGCCTCTGATTCTAATTTATTCATCAGTTTATTTTGTTCACTAGATTTCTTGTTGGTTTATTTTGATACTTAGATTTAATTGTTGACAGGTATGTATTTATTGCCATTTTATTGTTCATATTTTTGTTGTTGTTCTTCTTCCTTCTTCTTCCTCTTCTTAAAGAATACCCTTCAACATTTCATCTAAGACTGATTTGGTGGTGATGAACTCCTTTAGCTTTTTCTTGTCCATGAAGCTCTTTATCTGACCTTCAATTCTAAATGATAGCTTTGCTGGGTAGAATAATTTTGGTTGTAGGTCCTTGCTGTGTCATCACTTTGAATATTTCTTGCCACTCCCTTTTGGCCTGCAAAGTTTCTGCTGAGAAATCAGCTGACAGTCATATGGGCTCTCCCTTGTAGGTAACTAACTGCTTTTCTCTTTCTGCTTTTAAGATTCTCTCTTTGTCCTTTACACTTGACATTTTAATTATGATGTATCTTGGTGTGAGCCTCTTTGAGTTCCTCTTGTTTGGGACTCTCTGCACTTCCTGGACTTGTAAGTCTATTTCTTTCACCAGGTAGGGGAAGTTTTCTGTCATTATTTCTTTAAATAGGTTTTCAATATCTTGCTCTCTCTCTTCTTCTGGCACCCCTATAATGTGAATATAGGAACGCTTGAAGTTGACCCAGAAGCTACTTACACTATCTTCATATTTTGGAATCGTTTTTCTTTTTGCTCTTCTGATTATTGTTTTTTGCTTCCTCATATTCTAAATCATTGATTTGATTCTTAGAATCCTCTACTCTACTGTCAAATCCCAATAAATTATTTTTTGTTTCAGTTAATGTATGCTTACTTTCTGACTGGTATTTTTTTTTTTTATATCTTTGACATTCTCGCTAAAGTCCTTGAAAGTCTCACTAAGTCCCTTGAAGCTCTCTTTGAGTCCCTTGAAGCTCTCATTAAGATCCTTGAGTAACCTTAGAACCATTGTTTTGAACTCTGTATCCAGTAGTTTGCTTGCTTCCATTTCTTTTATTTGTAACACTAGAGGTCCAGTGCATGATATTTGTGCACTGGGGGCTGGAGGAGGGGTCCCTCAGCCCAGCCTGCACCCTCTCACAGTCTGGGACCCCTCGGGGGATGTCTGCCTGTCGGCTTAGGCCCGATCTCTCCAGGGATCGGGCCTAAGCCGGCAGTCAGACATCGCTCTTGCAGTCCGGGGCTCTCGCTAGTCAGGGACCCCTCGCTCCTTACCACCCGCCTGCAGCAGAGGTGGGAGAGGCTCTCACTACCGCCACTGTGCTCACCAGCCAGAAGCTAGGCTCCCTGCTCCTTAGCACTGCTTCTGGCTGAATGGCGCTCCCCATGTGTCAGTGCACTGATCACCAGGGGGCAGCTCCTGCATTGAGTGTCTGCCCCCTGGTGGTCAGTGCGCATCATAATGACCAGTTGTTCTGCTGTATGGTTGATTTGCACATTTGCCTTTTATTATATATGATGTTTCTTTGTCTTTGCACTTTGGCTGCTTCCCTGTGTTTGTTTCTGTATATTAGGTAGAGCTATTATGTCTTCTGAAATTGGTAGAGTGGCCTTGTGTAGTAGGTTTCTTGTAGGGCCCAGTGGGTCAGCCTCCCCAGTCACCTGAGCTGGACACTCTCGGTGCACCCCTGTGTGAGCTGTGTGCACAGTCTTGTTGTAGTTGAGCCTTGATTGCTCTTGCTGTCACTGGGAATTGGAGGAATTGACCTGCTGTGCAGGAGACACCCCTATGTAGCAGGAGTTGCTTCAGTGGAGCTCTGGTGCTCACTGAGTCTGCCCCTTGAGTGTGTTGCTGTGAATGTATAGAGTTGTAATCTCGTATGGTCTGAAGCTGTCCACTGGGTGCATTGGCTGTAGGGCCTTCCGGGAAGAGCAAAGTCAGCCACTGCCTGGGGCCACCCAGCAGAAACTACAAAGAGATCTGCAGATGGCTGCTACTTGTATTGGGCTAGGAAGTGCCTAGGTGAGTTCCAGCTGTGAAGCAAAACAGGCTGGTGCTAGTGCTGGGTCTTGGGCCTCTTATTGATAGTTTTGGGGCATGCTGACTCCAGCTGCTGCTTGTTTGAGTGGTTTTAGGAAATTCTGAAGCCTGAGCCAGCACAGGCCATTCATATGGAAAAGCTGCTGCAAATAGCTTGGGTGGGGCTGCAAACTGGATGGGACGGGGTCTCAGGGAATCACCAGAGGGAGCCAGCAGTATGGGCCACACTAAGGGAAACTCAGATATGGCTGCCAGTCAGCTCTGTGACAGGGGAGGTCCCAGCATAGGAACCATGACCCCTGTGAGCACCCCTGTCTGGGAGAAAGCCTCCCCCACGTTCCTGCCCCAATGCCAGACAACCCAGTTCCTCCAAGTATGTTTGTTGATCCCCAAAAGCCACCACCCAGTTTGGGAACTCAGAGGGAGTGGGACTGTGTAAGTTTGTGCTCAGTCCATTTGAGAGGAACTGTCTGGGACTCTAGCAGTCTCTGTGTCACTCAGGAAAAGTCCCTGCTGTGTTTTTTTTTTAAAAAAATTATCTTTTATTGTTGATAGCATTATAGATATCTCTTATTTTTCCTCTTTCCCCACCTCCTCCCAGCCTTTCCCCCCAGACCCATACAGCACCCCCCCCCCAAGACTTCACCAACTTATCCCCTGTGTCTATGGGCTATGCACATAAGTATATAAGTTCTTTCGCTTATCTCTTTTTGTCACCCCAACCCCACATTGAGGTATATCAGTCTGTTCCATGCTCCCTGATGGTTTTTACAGCCCAAAGTTACGGGAACTTCTCTTCCCAGCTTTGGAACCCTGGGCTGAGGGTCTGCTGTTGGGCTGGGCTGCCTTGCTCCTAATGGGAGGATTTTGCCATCACAATATCCCTCCTGATTAAAAACATGCCACACGTGGGTGTGGGAGCAGCCTGTTCCTCGCCTCCACCCTTCCTATCAGTCTCAATGTGCTTTCTTCTCCAGTTGTAGGACTTCCATTCAGCCAGATTTCAGGTGGTTCTGAGTGATGGTTGTTCTGTATTTTAGTTGTAATTTTGAGGTGGTTGTGGGAGGTGGTGAGTACCGGCATTTACCTACACCACCATTGGCTCTCTTTGGTCGGGTCCTAAATAATTTTTTATTTTTCAATTCAGTTGACATACAATGTTATATTAGTTTCAGGTGTACATCCAGTGATTAGACATTACATAACTTACCAAGTCGTCATCCAGATAAATTTCACATCCATCTGACACCATACAGAGTTATTACAACACTATGGACTGTATTCCCTGTGCCGCACTTCACATCCCTGTGACTATTCTGTAACTGCCAATTTGTACTTCTTAATCCTTCCCCTTTTATACCCATTTCCCAACTCCCTCCCCCTGGGCAACCTTCAGTACACCTGAAAATAATGCAAAATAATACTGAATGTAAAATTCTTACTGAAAAATAGAATAAACTAAAAAAGAAAGATGCTCTTCCTTTAACATGGGGCCTGTCCTCCAGGAACCCACAGTCTAGAGTTTGTTTAAGGTGATTTGAATAACAAAACTACAAAGGAAGATAGGAATAAAAAAAAATCTGTTATTTTTGTATACATTCTCTGACTTCCCCTTTGCCCAAGTGATACAATCCCCAAATAGTAGAGCCATGCACTGATGCATTTAACTCAAACAAATTCAAATACAGAGTAAGTGTGCATGCATTTGGTTGCAGATCACTAATGTGTTAGTGTAAACATCGCAGCTGATTTCTCCCACTCTTCCACCTACTGGGCATTGCTCCTGGGTGAGATGGGGGGGGGCACTGCCTCTCCTGCTATTTCTGTTTACACATGCCCTTCCTATTACCTGCCTGCCTATGTGCCATGCTAGTGTTTACATATACGTGTTTCTTGTGCATTATGAACCTGACACAAGCCAGCTACTTCTCATGGCGCCCCATCTAAGGAACAGCGCTCTGTTCCCAACCCCCCCCAAACCCGGCAATGTAAGTGAAGCTCAGCGAGTGTCATGTTGAGTATATGTGACTTTTGGACCCAGTTACTTTAGAAAGTTAACTAGTTTGCAAGACCTGACCTCCGTGTACCCAGTTTGACTTCAGCTAGGATAGGGGCAGAAGCAAAGGCATTGTTGCTTTGCCGTAGAGCCTCTACTTGCCGAGAAGCCAGGTTTTAACCGTCTCTCTCTCCCTCTCCTCCCTTCCTCCCACTCTCCTTCTCCCCACCTCCTCCCTTGTTTCTCTCTTTTGCAGTCTGCTGTTTTGTTGTGCACAAGCGGTGCCATGAGTTTGTCACGTTCTCCTGCCCCGGCGCCGACAAGGGTCCAGCCTCTGATGTAAGTAACGGGCCCTGGTCACCTCTCTTTGTCCACAGTCATCGTGAGGGAGGGCCCTGAGACAAAGAAGTTGGGATGGTCTCACGCCAAGGCACGTAGAGGTCCTTACAGCCTCTGGGACATTTTTCATTGTAATGGAAAAAAAACATTTTAGACGGGGCTGTGATTGTACAGGAAACCTGCTAGTTCTCCTACTATGATGTTGCCAAATGTCTTTACAATTTTTTATTGAATTTATTGGGGTGACATTGGTTAACAAGATTATATAAAAGTTTTATAAATGTCTTCTCATCTTGACAGCGGGGGGGGGGGGGGGCATGGAGAGTGGTGGGCGGGGCCGAGCTGTTCCCACGGCTGTGGAAAGGTGGTTGGAAGAGTACCTTCCTCGCATGCACTTGATGGCTCTTTGCTGGGGAAATGCTGATACCAGGGCCCAGGAACTAGGAAGACATGACTTTGTCCCGTTACTATGCACCCCCCCCCCCCCCCAGTATGACTACTGAGGCAAGGGATGCTTCTAGGTAAAACAGGCAAATAATTTTTGCTTTAATTGTTATGAATTTATTTTAACGTGGGTTGGAAAAATGTATCTAGTAGTGCCTTTGTAATAGGGATGTAAAATTTCCTACCTAAGTCAAGGTAAACCAAAGATGTATTGATTTAAGGAATATGTTAAGTCAGCGGTTCTCAACTTCTGAGCCGCGACCCCTTTGGGGGTTGAACGACCCTTTCACAGGGGTCGCCTAAGACCATTGGAAAACACATATATAATTACATATTGTTTTTGTGATTAAGCACTATGCTTTAATTATGTTCCATTTGTAACAATGAAATTGGGGGTCACCACAACATGAGGAACTGTATTAAAGGGTCGCGGCATTAGGAAGGTTGAGAACCACTGAGTTAAATGAATGATAGTATGGATACTTTAAGGTTATGTATGGCAGAACCCTTGGTATGAGGGTTTATTTTTGTTGTTGTTTGTTAATCCTCTCCTGAGGATATTTTTTCCATTATTTTTAGAGAGAGTGGAAGAGAGAGGGAAAGACAGAGAGCAACATCGATGTAAGAGAAATGCATTGGTTGGTTGCCTCCTGCACGAGCCCTGACCAGGGCCTGGGCCCTGGAGGAGCCTGCAACCCAGGTACCTGCCCTTGACCGGAATCGAACCAGGGACCCTTTGGTCCACAGGCTGACGCTCTATCCACTGAGCCAAACTGGCTAGGGCTGGTATGAGTTGATGTAAAGTTTTGGTACCTTGTTGATTGCCTCCCGGCAGCCACTGTGGCCCTCACACTCTGGCACAGGCATCTTTCATGCTAGAAGCTGAGATACCTGGCAACTTGCTTTCCCACGGGCGTCTGTAGCTAGTGAATGAGCATGTGACCGAGCTCTGCTCAGTGGGGTGTGGAGCGGAAGCTGGGTAGGCTTCTAGGCAAGACTGTCCTTTCTGATAAGCGAAGACGTCTCTTTCTTGTCCTGCTGGTGGTTGTGATAGCCCCTTTGGGTCGGTGAGGGAGGCGTGGCTGACATGCTGAGCACGGCAGAGAGGAAGGAACCCCAGGCACTGGTGACATTGATAAGCTAATGAGCCAACCCTGAGTTCCTATGCCAGACAGTGTATGTGCGATAAGAAGCTCAGCACGAGGACTTGTGAGTCTTGAACTTCCCAGGAGGACTTCCCACCATGGACAGTCCTCCACCGCCCAGTCATGAATTGTGTTCAGGGTACCCACTGGGCAGCTGTCACCCTAGTTCTCTTATTTGTCGGGTTTTGGTTCACCCTCCTGGAATTCTCTCCATGGATTTTGTCCATTACTGGTCTTATTCTTACCCACTTAGAACCGACAGCTGCCTTCAGAGTGGTGGCTACCTTAGGGCACTGGATTTCTTTGACTCTTGCTAACCTTTTACAAATAGTCATTTACCACCACGTCCCTGCAAATCAGAGGCATTTCTGTTGCCACAGCAACATGAACGCTCTAGAGCTCACACTGCAGTTGCTCTGCTTGGAAACTGGTGCTTGGGGTTAAGAACTCCAAGCATCATGGAGCCACCAGTCCTTACCGGCCTGTCTGCAGAGACGAAGATGGGGCAATTGTCAAGCTCCCCCAGAGCACGCTCCCTGGCCCTTCTAGTGCAATTGCTCTCTCATCCCCAGGAAAACAGGCAGGGAAGTTTGGGGGATAGCCTGGCCCCATCATGCTGCTCTGAATGTTCCTACAGATGGAGGCTGGCTACTTGGGAGCAGCCAAGGGGTGGTGTTTCCATAGCCTGTCCATGCAGGTGGGCAAAGTCGTGTTACAGTCGGAGTACACGAAAGAGTTCACTCTTGTATTATGAATTAATTATTGTATTATTTTCCATACAAACAACTGTAAACCTACCTTTTCCAACTCCTGTATTTGTTGACTTTTTCGGTTGCCTAAGACAGAAACTTAGCTCAAACTGGCTTATGTGAAAGGGGAAATTCTTAGTCCCTGAAACTGAAAAGGCCTGGGGTAGGCTGGCTTCAGACACCGGGATCCAGGTGCAGATGTGAGGTCCTCAGGACTCTCTCTGCATCTCGGCTCGGCCCTCCTGTCTTGGTTTCAGCCTCAGGGGCCTGTTTCTCCCAGGGAGCGTGATGGCTGCAGCTCCCCTCCTCTTATGTATCCTCATGGCTGCAGCTCGCGGGAGAAGAGCTGACGTCTCATTGGATCATGGGTCACATGCAGCCCGAAGGATGGCTGTGCTGATTGGCCAGACCTGTCATGTGTCTGCTCCTGGAAAGGAGGGCCCTGTGTGGGAGAGAGTGCGTGAGGGAGAGGTGGTCACTTGGAAGAAAACGAGGGAAGAAATATTGAGAACTGGTTAGAAATCATACACCATGGAGCCGGCATTCGCAGGCTCAAATATCTATGACCTTTGGCAAATTACCTAAATCCCTTTGTGCCTTAGATTCCTCCGCTGAAGATGGATAAAATAAGGGCCCCTACCATATAGCAGTTATGAGCATCCCATGTGTAAATATCAGTGACAGCACCAAGGACAGCCTGGTACCTGGCAAGAGCTGCGTGTGGAGGAGATGGTGATGACAGCAGGCAGCAAGGAAAGGTCCATGGCGTAGCGGGAAGGGTGAGCAGGTTCTGCTGCCACCTGGCAGTGCTTCCTGGCAGTGTGCGGCCCCATGGGGGGTCAGCATCCCACTTTGTATGTGCAGAGCAGCGCAGCCACCCATCACCTCGCATGGGGAGAGCAGGAAGCACCCTGCCGCCGGCATGCATGGGATTGGCAGCCGACCTGGGATGAGCCCATCTCTGGGCATTGTTCCAAGAAGGTTGGTTGGCACCAAGGATGATGAATTGGTCCAGACAGTTGAATTGGTTCGATTCTCAGTTCATTGACCTTTCTCTGTCCATGGTCGGAGGCATGATTACAGATCTGTCCACACCTGCTCACCAACCTGGCCAGCCTCTCATTGGCTGCCCCTGAGGCTCACGCGGGTTTGGAGGAGTGCCCTCCTCCTGTGTGACCTTGGGGAGCTGGTGTGGCGAGCTCACGGAGCAGGAAAGCAGTCTCCATCCACGGAAAAGGAACGTGCTGGGCTCTGCCCTCGACCCTCTGCTCTTCTAAGCCCAGCCTGAGCTAAGGAACATGCTGGATCGTAGGACCTTGTCTTCTACAGACAGGCCCAAGTCACGGAACATCAGTCCGCCTGAGGAACTTTACGGACCAGGCACTGTCCCAGTGAGCCCAGCTACTGACCCAGTTATTCCGTGCCAATGGGAATCAATATACTAGTACATGGGCACCCACATCGCAGGACCTCCATGACAGAGTCCTGGCTGGTACTTCTGGTCACCTGCCAATATCCTCCTGGTTCCTGGTCCCTTCCGGTCTGGGAGCTCTCAGTCCCGCTGTCTCTTGGACCATTTCAAGCAGCATATACGGACATTGCAGTTACCCATCATTTATAATGCCCATCACTTACAGTGCTGTCCACATACACAGCCTCCTGGGAGATCTCAGAACAAGAGAGAGAGAGGCGTTGTCTCTGAAGGCTGGGACTAGGGTGAGTCAAATGAGGTACTTGCCCTGGCACCTGTGTTGGTGGCTATCTGCGGCTGGATGATCTAGGATGGCTCGCTCACAGGACTGGCAGTGAGCAAGTTGTTGGCCTGGGAGCTTGGTTCTCCATGTGGCTGCGTCCTCCAGCTGGCTGACTCGGGCTTGTTCACGTGGTGGTTCCAAGAAGGGCTAGGGAGCCTGCCCCAACACACAAGTGCTTTTCAGCCTGTGCATCATGTTTGCTAGGTCCCACTGGATGGTGCAGAACTAGATTTCACTCCTTGTGGGAGGGACGGCTCTCTGGGAAACCTACTGCAGGTCGTGTTGACTCAAAAGGCCACTGAGAGCACAACCTCTGACTTCACGGAAGATGCACAGGTTTTGGTGCCGTTCAGAGGGTCTTGTGTGGCATTGTGAAGAGACGGATGAGCCACATCCACAGTAGTGTCTGGCACCCGGAAGCCACTCCATGAGTGGGTTCGCACTCACTGTCCCTGCCCGGAGGAGCGTCTCCTCGCTCAAGAAGGGCTAGGCCCCCTCTGGCCTGCCAGGAGCAGTAGCTGACAATAATGCTTATTGAGTGGGGGCTCTGCGCCAGGTGGGACAAAAGGATTCTTTAGGTTTATATAAAAAACACTTTATTGCCGAAGCCGGTTTGGCTCAGTGGATGGAGCGTCGGCCTGCGGACTGAAGGGTCCCAGGTTCGATTCCGGTCAGGGGCATGTACCTGGGTTGCGGGCACATCCCCAGTAGGAGATGTGCAGGAGGCAGCTGGTCGATGTTTCTCTCTCATCGATGTTTCTAACTATCTCTCTCCCTTCCTCTCTGTGAAAAATTAATAAAATATATTTAAAAAAAAACCCAAAACCAAAAAAACCCAAAAACACTTTATTCAACATTTTATGGTTTTAGAAGTAACTCCTTATGATATATAATCAAGGTGCTGAATA